TGAGCAACCACTTTATTAGGCACACTGTAGTGCAATGACATTCTATACAACAGCCCTGCAGGTAGTGATCATTTTGTACTGGTTCATTTTGGCTTGCAATAGTGAGGTCTCCAAAACTGAATTAAAAATGCAAAAATGCACCAAATACACTTTTCAAAGATATAATTTCTTGGAGGGTTGTTGTACTACACTGTGCATATGTACCATGTTAGTGTATGTGCTTGAGTGTATGCGGAGGTGGACTGTGAATGAATGGGCCCGTTAAGAACTGAGCTGGACTTTTGGAAGGAGAGGAAAAGGTGAGTCATTGTTTGTTGTATTGCAGTATGTTTTTTTTAAATTATATTAAAGTTTAAAGAAAAGTCACATTTCTAAACTGGAAACATTATAAAGGACAGGACAGAAGTACTACAAAGCATACAAAAAGACCACCCCAACCACATCCTGTTCACCCTGCTGCCAGACTCCTCAACACTCAACCATGTAAAAGAGTTCTATTTCTTTGACTTATTATATATTCACCCATGTACTATACTACTATCATTTTTGTATATAACATTTGTTTTTGGGAGTAGCATAAAGGGAACTACAACTTAATCTCATTACACAACCCTGTGTTGTAAAATGATAAAAAAATTATTCATACTACAGCACCAAACAGTGTTTGCAATCCTCATTATTAACACACACTATACATGCTAAAAGTAGATAAAATAAACAATAAATAATAAGAAATTGCAGTAAAGGAAATGTTTGTGGTAATTTTTAAAAGTGTCTTCACTACATAGTCTGTCCACTAGAGAGCACTGATAAGTGACACATTTTTCAACTGCAAACTGTCCCCGTCAGCATGTATGATTGTTACAATTTATTTTTTTTTTTTTTTAAATGCAACACACTGCATTCCCCTCAGAGTTTATCACCACACTCTCACAGAGGCACTCACTTGTCAGTTTCCAGATTACTCAGGGTGACGCTGGCGGAGCCCATAAAGTCATCCGTTGTCAGATCACGGTCGTATACCTGAGGCATGTCAAACACCAAGAGACTGTTAATACAGAAAACGTCATGGACACAATTACTGTAATGGTGTGTCTGTGGAACCTCAGAGACCATGACCACAGGTATTTACCAATAATGGTGTGCCGAAGCTGACGTGGAGTTTGTTAATACTACTACAACACAAATGTTCATAGCTTATTTAATTCACTGACTAAATGGTTGGCTGAAACAACAGCTGTCTTGAGGTGAAGTGGTAGCAAAGTTCTAAAACATTTAATTCATGTGTTGACACATGAACAGCAGCAAATTTAGACTTCCCCCATTCATGGTTCTGGGGCTGCACCACCTGAGCTCACTTAATCACGGTAATTCCCCCAAAGCATTGTGTATTGTGCATTGCAAACACACTGCAACACCAAACATTTTTTGTATGTATTATTGTATGAACACTCTGACTAACCACATAGCCAATCTAACATATTTAACACCTTTATTGCAGTGCCCTTCCCATGTTTGGCCAACACAACAGTAACACCCTCCCATGGTGAAATAGGGTTAGTAATTTAACTCACAGAAAGTGGCAGTAAGTTACCTTGATGTACAGTTTCTGGTTCAGATCCTTCACGGGTAGGGAGAAGGTCTCATTCCACGTGGGGTTGAGGTCTTTTAAAACCACTTTGCTTTTGTAGAACGTTTTACCGTCCAATTTGAATTTCACATAAGGGTCGCTGGTACCTGAAAATTATATGTAAATATATAAATATAAAACAATGCAGATTAGATTATTTACAGATACTTCTTGACAATGTCGTGGCTATTCTTTAAATAAAACAAAGTATGATGCCATCATGCTGCTGTAAGGTTTATTCAGTCCTCCGTGGAAGGACTCATTTGCAACAGTCACATATACAGCAGTAAAGTGAAGGTTTGAATGAGTTAAAAATCAAAAGAGGCAGTTTATCCCTGTATGAGACACAGTTACACACTCCTGTGTTCTGGGGCAACAAAAAGAGCATGGTGTGACAATGGGTCTTATCATGTCCTTGGATGTTCAGTGAAGTCTCAACATCTGGCTGTTGACTTGAACACAGAGTGTAGTTAAAACAGGGTTAAAGCTTTATGCATATAATAGCCTCTAGAACAGGTTGTGTAGGGTTTTTACAATGTATGTTCTTAAAAATACCCATTACACTGATGTTCCTCATACTGATCATATAAGAGCAATGGTTCTCATCAACAACACTACCCCCAACCTACTAACCCCCCGACCCAGACAGATATGGCGCGTTACGATATGAGCTCTTTATAAAAACACCCCACACATATCTGCCTCTTCCTGTAGAATTGTTATTTCTCACCGTCCAACCCATTTGAATTTCCACAATCACACGGGCTTCGGCTCTAGGTACACATAGAAAAAAAAATTACCTAGCTCATGACATAATAATTACACTTATACACAATAATAAAACAAATGCAGATATATAGAATTCACACAAACATTTACAGAATACATCATTTTTAGCAACCAATAGTCGTGGATTATCCTTATAAATTACAATAACAAAGAATATGAAATTGCCACTCATGCCTGCTGTAAAGGATATCTATACAAAGTACACTCCGTGGAACGCGGACTCCATTTGCAAAAACACAAGTCACAATCATCACTGATCAAACTATCACACAGCACGTAACGTGAAAGTTCAATTGACCATGACGTCTAAAATCAAACGAGGCAAAGATCTTATCCCCTGTAAATCGCCACGACATCAGTCTACCTCACTATCCGAGTGCTCGAAGGCAACAAAACGCAGCACCTCAGTCGCCGACACATGGGTTTAACCCTACTCAGTTGTCCTTGGAACCAAACGCTTCAGTGACCTCAAGGTCTACCCACATCTGGCTGATGACCCTTGACACCACCAGCCCACAGTGTCACGCCTCTAACACACAGGGGTTAAGTTTATTCTATTAAATACACTAATAGCCCTACGCCTAAGAACAAGGTTGTTTTGTCACGGGTTCCCCTCTTTCTACCTCATGCTCCACATGTTCCTTACCACCACTACTCCTCTCCCATCCTCCCCTCCCCCTCCGCCAATTGTTCCTCCCCCAACAACCTCACACCCATGCATTCCCCAATTATAACACCACCAAATACACTGAAGTGGGGGTGGGGTCTCTCGGTGGTCTTGCTCCACAACCACCTCCGCCACACCCTACCACCAGTAAACAAAAAAAAATCACAGTATGTTGATTAGCATGGAAGAATAGTCTTCGCGCTAACTTGGGATACACTGCAGCTGTTGTTATTTATAGCCTGAAAATTAAGGTTTACGGATTAATCAGACTTAAACTAAGAGATTAGCCACCTATTTTTTAA